ACCTTAATGATTCTATGATTCTATGACAGGGGACATAACAATTTAGGAAAAATACAAGAAGAGCTTTTCTTGTCGTTGCTTCTGTGACATTGCAGCCCAGGTATATTTGTAGTGATGCATGTGGGCGTGATAATCCCTTCTTTGGAATACATGCAGTGCATGTGACCTCTGGTTCAAAGTCTTTGCTTCCCAAATCCAGGCTTTTGGACAGGACAGAGAGAAGATGCTTCTCTAGCTGATGTACTTACAGGGACAGCATTTGCTTGGGAAGCCCAGAGCATTAGGAGACCATATTTGGCAGCCAGGTGTTTTCCTTGCAAGGTATCCAGGAGATGTTGCAGTAGTGTCTGTCATAAAGAAAAGGCAATAATGTGTATTTCAAAAAATATATTCAAATCAAGTTTAGGGTAGGGCTTACTAGAATTCAAGGAGTAAGTACGTAAGACTAGTTTATCAAAGAGAAATAATGTTAGTTATGGGTTGTTTGCAGTAAAAGTAGAGAGATGACAGCTGTTAAGAGAAAGTGAGGCTTGCTCATGGAGGACCAGAGGAAGTCAATGCAGGATGTGAATCCGTACTGAATACTTGTACTGCCCTCCATGGTCTTAAAGTTTTTAGGGGGTTTGGTTCCTTCACTGTCTATTGCTGCTTGTATGTGGTAGAAAAAAACCCAAACTAGTCTTTTTTAATTCCCGCTCTACTTCCCTACTTTAAAGAACCTGAAAGTGGGACTGAACAAGTTGAATGAATGGAAATGAAGAAAATGTTCTCTCTGTTTCTTCCAAAAAGGTGCTTGTTATGAAGAGATGGTCTGATATATCAGCGAACTCCCTGGTTCCAGGTGCTTTTTTAGTGACCTAAACTGTGATTTCAATGGCTTGATATTCTTTGAAACTATAGCAACTGTGTAATGTTGTATTTCCTTAAATACAGGGCAACCATGCATTCAAGGCAAAGCTTCCTGTCTACTTTTCAGATGGGAAAAAAGCTGACCTTGAATAAAAAATGGCCGTTGGTTTTTTTTTTCCAAATTCCCACCCAATCTAAGACACTGAGTTACTGCCTACACCTTCTTACCTCCTACGATCCCCTCTCCAGCCCTCTCTTTCTTTCCATTATTCTGGTTTATTTTATCAAAGAAATTGTGGTATGTAAAGCTTTTAAAGTCTAAATAAAACCTGGTTTGTTTAATGACCTGTTCTATAATCATTTGGTAGATCAAAATTCCCAGGCCAGTCTGTCCTCACATTTTTCAGCCGTGTAGACAGAATTCCTGCCATAGCTAGGGAGAATAACCAGGGGGACAACTTATCACAGCTTTGACACAATCAATATTTAGGGTACTTGGCTTCCAATCCAGTAATCTGCTATTTTCTATTAGTCTGGCTGCTGGAGGATCTACTCACTCTACACCAGGGTTTAAAAATAGTACATGTAAGGTTTTGAAATTTCACAGCGCGGTGCCCTCACAGAGAAAACTGAAGAGGTCTTTCTCTCACCTCTTTTAACTGCTCACTGCAACTGCGATACCAGAGGCTGGTGATGGGTCATAGCTTTGAACCCTTGGCTTAAAATTCCCCAGAGGAAGATGTCAATTGTGAATTGTAGGAAATAAACTAAATTGAGGAGTAGGACTAAAAATTATGGGTCTGTCCCAATGTAGGTGACAGCTATACTGGACAACTAAGGTACAGCTATCAGAGCTGACATATTTCTTCCAGTACTGAAATAATTCCTGCGCTCCATCACTTCAGACAGAATCTACAACGAAGTCCTCTTATTTCATAGCCTTGGATGTTTACCTTGGATGTGGTCTCTGAAGGGTTGGTCCTTTCAGCATCTGACACTACTTTCTCAAATAATTTTAGAAGCCATTTTTTGGATTTAGATCAGTTCCTGTAAAGAAAAGCAACAAACAAGAAGCACTTTACGGAGGCAGCACAAACCAACACTTCCTTTTCCATGAGAAGGGCTCCTTGGGTTCTTTCCAAAAGCCCCTGGGCAGCAGTCAATCAAGTATCAGTCTGACTGACAGCAGGGTTGACCAACATGAGGAACAGCACAGCCAAGACCTTCACCTTGCCCAGACCTCATCTTGCAGCCAGGACCTCTGACTGCAGGTCTCCTAGATTTTCATATCTGTTTCACTACAAGTTTTAATTGCAGCTTTGGACAATTGCTTAGGTCAATCTTGGGACTTCTCCTGAGAAAATAAAGGCCACATTTTTAGAACATCCTTAGTTCTCTCTCAGCACTGCAGCCATGTAATCTAGGATCAGTCTGTCGGAGAAACAGCTAAGGTGTGGGAAAGAGCAAAGAGATGCATCGCTGGGTATCCTCTCAGCTTGGGGGTCACATTTAGGCTCAAGACTTTGCCCTTTGCCCAGTTCTGCTGTTCCCTGACAGGTCCAAGCTAGACCCTGCCCACCTAAGCAAGGTTGTTTCTGCTTTATGCCAGGAAAATGCATGAGATAAGGTCAGAACTTTTTTGAAGCACCTAGCTGAAGGCCTGCCAGAGGCTTTGAGCAACCTGATCTAGGGGTAGGTGTCCCTGTCCATAGCAGAGGGGTTGGAACTCAATCTTTAAGGTCCCTTCCAGCCCAAACCATTCTATGATTCTATGACCCAAGGACACACCATCAATAAAGACAGCGCATCATCCTCCAAGGGAATTGTCTCTCATGGTTGATATCCCAGCAAGCAAAACTCCTGCCATGGGTACACCATGCGCATCATCTCCCCTCTGTTACCTCAGGAAGCACTCAGGCATCTGAGAAGTGTATTCAAAGTCCTCATCATACTTCTGAAAATGTTCTTCAGACTCCTTGATTTCACTCTGACTTGTCGGGCAGATGCCTTTCCCAAACAAAGTGTTCACCACAGCTGGATACATGACGTGCCTGCAAAGAGAAGATTCCCGTGACTGACAGGCCATAGGGAAGCTGTTGCAGCACTTTTAGGTCAGGATGTGGTGCGTTGAATTGCCAACACGAGCAGTGTGGGTCTCAAGCATCACACCAGTATGCAGGGGCTGGCACGAGGCTCATACCTCACTCATACTCTTATCCCAGATTTTAAGCAGAGGCTGGGACATACATGGGCCTCATGCTAGTCCTCTGCATGTGCCTGGACTTCATCAGGTAGTGTTTGGTCCCTTGAGCAGTGGCAGAAAGGCTCCAGGCACCGAGGTCCCCTTCTCCCCATTAACCACCCCTCTCATTTCAGGTTAGCCCATGTGGACCTTCTGGGCATTGCACAAACCCTTCTGCAACCAGCCACCCTGAGAAGTCCTTCCTCTGCCTGCACCTCTGCTGGACTAAATAATGCTTTTTTTGTTTTCTTTCTGTTTGCTCCTCTGTTATCCTGCAAACTCCAATCTCCTTTCCCAGGCCACTTCACCTGTACTCTTCAACTCTGAGAAACTCTCACGCAGTCTTTGCTGGGTTCCAGCTACTGCTAAATACCTATTTCAAGCAACAGCTCTTTCACTTTCTTGCTTTTTTTACAGATGATAAGGAAATGGAGCCACCTGCTGGCTCTATGGCTTCAATTCTGAAGCAGTTAAATAACAATTATCCAGGGCATTTCATTCCAATTCTTTTACCCTGCCTTGTTTGGCAAAACCATAAGAACAGATCACACTCAGCACAGATTTACTGTGGATGTCTCTTAAGGATTCTGTAGTTAACCATCTAGCCTATGACTGAAAGAAGATGTGACTTTGATCTCAGAAGAAGGGGGGGGGGGGGGCCCAG